TTTTATTTTGTCAAAGTTTAGCAGCGTTTTTTTCCTGATAATTTATTTCAAAAAGGGCAACAGAGACAGTTTATATGTGTTGTTTACTTCAGTTGAAGTAAAGAGGTGACTTTTTTTCAGATGAAAATGTAAAGACATGATTTTTCAGCCGGCTGCAAGGATATATATATATATATATATGGTGGAGCAGGAGCAGGAACAGGAGCAGAGTGAAGTCCAGTAGTGAACTCTTTCAGAATAAAATGGAAAAAGATATTTATATTACTTGTTACATGTAGAAAGTCCTGTGACGCCAACTTTCTCAAATAGTCTTTTACTCTCCCAAATAATCGATCAAATTACTAGTAACTTGAACAAACAAATGGTGTAATAAGAGAGATGAATTAGATTGATGGGAGAATACATGTGATATGAAGAAAATAGTAGTATGACGATAGAAAACAGTGTGATCTAGCAGGTTAGATCTAGCAAAAGGAGTGGAAAAATAGAAGAGTTGTACCTGAAGACAAGGAGGAAGTTCAGGGTGGTAGTGAGATCGAAGCTTCTGCAAATCAGAGAGTTCTCGAGGTATGCCGTAATCTGCATCCATTGTTGATGCCTGGCACCTACGCAGTACACACTCACTTTTTGTGTTTTTAATATAATGTACTACACACTCACTCTTTGTCAGTTTCTAACTCTGAAAAGACCGTCCCTCCTTCCGTTTATATATAAATAAATAGTGGGGGCGATACAACCAACAAACACAGCAACCAGTTTACTAACTCTCTGTATCAATGCCCTCCCATTTCCCACTATATCACCATACAGCCACTGTGCAATGACCAAAATACCCCCTTCCTCTTTATGCTGTTATTAAGCAAATATATATGTATGTTGCGGAAAGAAAAAGAGATAAACCAAAGCATAATTTGTTTTAACATAAAGGAATATGCATAAATCGATTACTCTCAATATTCTACTTTTTAATCCTTCAATATTTTGTGTTGTGTTGAAAAGTATTAACAAATGTTACCACGTCAAACTTGATTTTTCCTTTACTTCTGTCGGTTGTGTTTACACTTGTAAACAATTTAAGAGTATAAAAACACGTTCATCACCATTTCTGTTGCAAAAAGAAGTTCTAGTTTCTTGCGCCCTAGTGAAAGAGCCAAGAGGTTTGAGTATTGAAAGTCCAGAGAGGAATATGCCCTTGAGGATAGTTACGTAAATTCAGAGTTCACCTAGAATACCCTCACCTAACTTCTCGATGGGGAGTGGGGACAATGACAAAACTTTCTCAGGGCCTTTTTCTTATTTGACAACAAAATTTGATCTTTTTTGATGGCATCAGGAGCCAGTTTCTATTTTAATTTTCCAACAGCGCCCCCAGTTTAATATCTTAAACATTGCAAAATGCACATTTCCTTCTTTCTCCAATGCTGCCCACGCACAAGAGGGCGTGCAGACATTTGCGGAATATGCTCCCCCAAGTACATACGCTTTCTTAGTCTTTATTATCTCGTCAAACCTCCTTTTTGCATTGCTCAATCCCCCCTTTGAAGGGAAAATAATAGAAACAGACCACTGTCTGCAACCTTATAGAGCTGGTGGTTTGATCCACCATCAAAGTTTGAACATAATTTAAAGATGCTGAATGTTATTCCAAATTAATAGAGATCCCATCATCCATTTTCACATGATTTCATAGTACTGGAAATTCAGCAAGGAGGATGAAATGGTGGCCTGGTAGTCCCGCTCCTACCTACCACTATGGGGGGCAAAAAGGATATTGAGATAAGGAAAAGCAAAAATAAAGACAACCAAATTTCGGTTGGAACTGTTAAAAAGTTGCATAGATAATATATATAGCTCATAAGTCATTAACTAATAACAGTGAACTACATCCTTCAGATGTCAAAGCAAGACACATACAGAGAATCTCTGACACAAAACTAAAGAACTCAAAAGGAACCATGATCCACCTAAGGGAATGGATTTGATCACAACGAGTCACATCACAACTCCCAAGGAATGGGGGTTGAACTTCATCCTCGATCTTGAAGCTTTGCATCTTTTGCCCATCATGAAGGACAGGAACAACAAAATCCGACTAGTCTTTTTTCCTTCCTTTATTGGAAGGAGAAGCCCGTGGTTTCTGCTTCCCTGATTTTCTTCTGGAACTGACCAGGTTTGGCTGGGTAGAATGAGCAGGCATGTGATGCCCAGGAACCAAAGCAGGGAACCCAACAGCAGGGATTCTGCAAATTCATATTGCATCTATTAATATAGGCATTTGAGAGAACATAATGCATCTTTCTATTCAACATAACCATGGCAAACTGGAAAAATGTCAGACATTCCCCCATCTATTTCTTGCTTCAAACATCAACTAAAGCAAAGTCCAGAAAATTTTAGTAGCAAAAAGTGGTATAAAGAATGTTTTTTAGCCAAATGACAAGAATGTTTCTTATGCACTTACCCAACAAGAGCACGGCAGACTCCTGCTTGGTCATAGAAACACCATTAGCACTGCTATTCTGCAAAGAGAAGCGTAAAGCTTGATTTTCAGCAAGACAACACTGGAGAACAAACCCCAGCCTTTTGCATTCTGATTCAAAGTATCTACTCTTCAACTCAAGATCCCTAACGTACAACTTCTTCCTCTCTCGTGACCTCACAGCTGCATCTCTGTTCCTCAATTGCCTGGAGACCAAAAATTAAGTTTGTGACTAAGATTTTCTTTAAGCTATTATTTACATACAGATTAGATAAATACAATCCTCCCACCATTTTGAAATATAAGAGGAGAGGGTTGTATTAAACTACTCTAGATAAATGCACACGATGTTATGCAATTTTAAGCATGATAAATGCGCACATTCCATAATATATACATCACACATTGAATAAGTGCAATCTTTTAAGAACATGGTTGCTTCTTCTAAGAAGAAGTCCAGAAGTAGTTTGCTATTCAGGAAAGTTCCCCACTTCGGGGGGGTGTCTCATGATCGCAAACTAATGGAAAAGTTGCACCATCATGTGCTTTGATAAAATCGGTATGTCTTGGAAAAAAGAATCATATTTTTGTTTCATAATCAATAGAGAATGAACATTATGTTCTAACACAGCACAAATCAAATCATGAATGGCTAATACAGTCAATGTGTGATGTCAAATTAAGGCAATCTTATAGAGAGGAACTCCTTGGAAATACTGATTCACGATTTGGCTGAGAAGGCACAATGTGGATTTGGTTTTTGCATACACAGAAACTGCAAAGATTTTTCTGGTTATCAATAATTTAGATCAAGCAGTATCAGACGAATTTTTTAATTTAATCAGCTTGAGTTAAACTAAATAAGATATCAAAACTAGGATTTGTTTCTGCTAGTATGTCAACCATTTTCAAAGAAGAGATACAGCACGAGAAGCGCAGAAGAGGTAGTATTATTTATGTGAATAAGCAGAATAATTGAATTAAATAAACTAAAAAGAAAAAAGGGCAAAGATACCTCTTGCGCTTCTTATCGACAGGGTCATGGTTGTTTAATTCGTCGTCCCCGTCAGAAGGCGACTTGTGTTTGTCCTGATCGGCGTCGGATCCACTAGAAACCTTGGAATCGGTGAATCCAATGGCTTGTTCAGCAGGAGAGTGAGAATGATCGGAGTGAAGAGGGGAATCGACGAGGACGTCGGAGAGAAAGTCGGCAGCAAATTGAGGATCAGCGTCTTCAAAAGAGACAAGACCGACATCGTCATCGTTCATAAGAAGCTGCTCGATCTGCTGGAATGTCTGTGGGGAGGAATCAGGAAGAGTGAATTGATCATCATCGTGGGGATTGTCTAGAACGTTGTGGAAGATGTGATCTACATCGTCCCAGTTGATGATATCATCGAAGTTATCGACCATCGCCAGTTCGACGGAGATTGTGGGGGTGAAGAAACTAGGGCCCGACTTACTATTTGGGACCCGACCTCTGGATGTCCCCAATTTAATAATCACGTTAGGTGTCTTAGAGGTTAAGGCTCCAAACACTTTCAACGAAATTACAAGTTTATTACTTCGTCATCCACCCAATAAGAATTCGACTTCGCTACAACTCACCTCACTAATTACTATTTACATCCCTTTTCCCATTAAAAGAAAATTACACCTTCCTCCTTTTCTATAAATAATACAAATTTAAATTTAAGAATATGCCACATTTTCATTCACACGACCTTTAAAAAAAATGACAAATGAATACTTGTTCACTTTTTCTTTTTTTAGTCGTAACTAATTACTTGTTCATTTTGATAAATCAAAAAATGACAAAAAATAAATCATGTTATACCTTCACAATCAAGTAATTAGGGAGTATTAACAACTGACGGGAATCCTCATTGATTTTCTTTCTAGAAAAAAATAATATATATCCTTAAACTAATAAGTACTACTTCCTTTGTCCCTAATTACTTATCCACTTTTTCTTTTTTAGTTGTCCCTAATTACTTGTCCATTTTGACAAATCAAGAAAGGACAAAATATTTTTACTTATTATACCCAATTAATTACTTTGAAAAAAAGTAGAACTTCTTGAAAATCTTAAATTTTTAATTTATCTACTTCATAATTAATAGGGGTAAAATAATAAATTCACTGTGTCAATAATTATTTTCTTAATAGGTGTGTCAATTTAAAAGTGAATAAGTAATTAGACACAGAGGTAGTACCTATTTAAGATTCTTAAATTATATACTTCATCCGTGGTTCAATTAATATTTGCCTTGATATAAAAAAAAAATAAAAAATAAAAAGATTTTTTGGAATTTGTGATTAAATGACAAGGTTTTAAAGGCAGGCTTTTGAAGTCCATAAACTCAAGTGGTAAATTACTCTTTCAATAGAAGGAAATAATTCACGGTGTACACACCCTTAACCCTTTTAAATTGTTGGATGGGGCTGTGATTTAAGAAGGATTTTTAACAACACAATTAATCATCTTATATCAAAGAAAAACCAAAGTGAAGCAGAACTCTTTAACCAAGAGCTAATTATGATAAAGCACAATTGTAAACTACATCCATAACTGTTGCAATCATATAAAATCATTCCATCTAAATAACAAAATACTGGAGGATTTGGCTCAAGCCTGCCATAACCAAATATACAATGTCTCCTTTTATCCACTCAACTATATTTAGAACATCTGTAACGTTCTTGCACTTGGCAAAGAGGAATTGTCTCCATACACTTTTAAGATACAAGTTGAGTAACTTTGAGATGAGAAATCCCAGCACACAATGATGACTTTCTTCTGTGAGATCATCTTGGTAATGAGCTTGGTGGAAAATAACGCAGGGGATTCTCCCTCAGCAACTCAGTCTCCCTGCAAACAAGTGCATTGTCAAAAAGGTGCATTCTTTTTATTGAAGTGAAGAAACGAAATGAAACCAACTTGATACTTACTTTTTTATGTCTTTGTCATCTCCTCGTCTAAGCTGCAGACTAGAAGCCTTTACACCAGCAGCAGAGTCCTTCTCCTGTGCTCTGCCAAAGATGAAGGGGCAACAAAGAAAGTCAATCCAGGATCCCTGCTATTGTGCTGAAAATCTTAGAAACTAACACTATTACAATAGCTGAAAATCTCCCCGTTATTATATATGCTTGATGCATGTACACACACTGTTAACCATGTGTTTGTTGTTCACACTGAAAATACCATTGTATCTATGTACTCACTTGGCACATTCCTCATCCACAAAGATCTCTAGGCACGGAGTGGTGGAAGTAGCTCCTCGATTTCTAAGCCCGTGTCTTTGAGGAATCTGTAAGAAATATTTTTGTTAATGAGTTTTCTTGTTCCTATCTGTCTGGACAAAAAATCAAATATTCTATTTAGAACTCTCTGGACTCAAACGGACCTTATTAGATGTCCACTTTGAAGGGATTGCCTGATTCTCCTTGTTCCTATCTGCTCGGGCACCAAGACAGTGCCATGATGTGTTCTCTAGCTTTGGTATTTCTGATTGAAGAGTTGATGACATTCCGGCATTTGCATCTTTGTAAATGGAAAATAGGCTCCCCTGAGCTCTGCAAAATGGATAAGAATGAGCCAGTGTTTCTACTAGAACTGGGTATGCACAAAGTAAAATATTTCCCGCAACCTTGTTATCAGCATCCTTACACTCCTTTTCCTTTAAGTTATGGATTAGGAAGCAATAACAACCAAAAGTTCATTTCCACATTGCAAAGGATTTAAGGTATTTAAAGCAAGAACTCATCAGAATCTGATCTCTTGCCTGACATAGCAGCTTAACCATGTGATGATAAGAATAAGTAATAACGACATAGATTTGGTTAACGCATAGTGTTACTATGAAAAAATGCAGGGACACAAGAACGTAACTTGGGAGAAAAGAATAGTGACCCTCACTAACCTATCTAGTTTCATTTTCTTCTGGGACAATTCAGAAGTTCCTGTTGTTTGGTTTCCTGCAAAGGCAAAAACAATGTTAGCCAAAGCCAGCAGACACCCTGAAGCTTCGATATAGAAATGCACTTACGAGCTTCCCCCCTAGCCAACAGTGTGCCAAAGCTTCTCATTGGAAGCTGGTGTTCAGTTAGCTCCTCCTGAAATACAAGAAAGTCGCCGCAAATTCAAATCAAATCAAACGACAATGGACTTTAGAAGAGGATCAGTCTGAAATAATTGATACCTCTGCTGCTTTGGGGCAACCCATTGAACGACTGAGAAACTTCTTGTAGGATGCTTTTAATTTCTCTTCGGGTTCTGCATTCCTGATTCATAGGAGAAGAAAATTTAAATCATAAACTAGCTGAGAGTGTCAGTAAATAGGCTTATAAATGGATCAGAACAAGCAGGAGGAAGGTTACTTGGTGTAACCAGTGTTTTGTACTTATATTAACTGTATCTTTAATGGAAAAGACTCAGTAGTGGCAAAGGAAAGCTTGAAAAAAGAGCGTACACAAAACTCAGGAGGAGACGAGGAAATTTAAATCATAAACCAGCTGAGAGTGTCAGTAAATAGGCATATAAATGGATGAGAACAAGCAGGAGGAAGGTTACTTGGTGTAACCAGTGTTTTGTACTTATATTAACTGTATCTTTAATGGAAAAGACTCAGTAGTGGCTAAGGAAAGCTTGAAAAAAGAGCGTACACAATCTTGTTGAGGCAGCTAATGCCTAAGGGGTCGTTTAGTTGTTGGTAAGGAAGTGAATTATTCACATATTAAAATCTGCATAACTAGTACCATTTTTGGCAGCATTTTAGTTGCTATGTATAAAACTCAGCACATCAAGTATGGTGCTTTGCTTACCAGTTTACAATCTCGCATAACTAAAACATGTATAAGTTAGGAGTCAATCTATGTATTATTTTATGTAGGGTTGAAGATGGTATAACTAATACATGAATTAGTAATACATAAATAGTTGAACCCTACATAACTGAACTCTGCATAACTAATCTTTGCTTAACTAATACTTGCATAACTCTATATCCAACAACCAAGCTACCCCTAAAGGTATTGGGGGTCAGGTAATTTTTAAAACCAATTGAGCATCCACAATAATATCATGCCAAATATATTAAATTCTTCACCTTGCTGTAGCATTATTCTGCCAGCAAGTTCAGTCAGTATCATAGCATTCACATCCCATCAGAAGTTAAAACAAGTAGAGAGAGAATATAAAAGGTCCCTCAAGAATGAGGCAAATGCCAACAAGAAATAAAGATTTCAATATATTCTTATGTCATCAGTTGATAGCTAGAGCATTTTATTAGAAACACATAGAGACTTGCTGTTTTGAAGGAATGAAATGCACTTAGTAGAAAATCATGCTATACAAGTTACAAACTAACATGATTAGGTTGTGTAATCAAACAAAGTTCAACAAACAGTGGCTGCGGCTATTTTCCATGCTGCCATACCTAAAATATCTATATTAGCTAAATAAATGATTAAATCCAGAGCACAACTTTCTCAATGATAACATCTCAAACACTTCCAGGTTGTTGAAAATGTTGATTTCTTTTCTTTGTCTTGCATATACAAATGCTTAACATAATCGTGTGACATGGTACTATCTGATTCAATTGCACTGTGACATCCTAACAATATTTTGATGCCTAGATTTATAATTCATACATAGGAACCAATCATTTCATAATTCAAAAAGATATAAGGAGTTCTTCATAATCATATTACTCATATATAGGAACCAATCATTTCACAATTAATGCAATTTCCATAGACATCATTAGACTTAATAGCATACAATTAATGCAACTTCCATAGACATAATTAGACTTAACATATCAAAAGCTACTTAAACGGAAATATCAGACAGCAATTCAATAACCCATTTGAATGATGCATCTCACATCATAGACAACATATATGCATAAATTCTCTGGAACTAAGCCATGTTCACTTGCCTAGTGCCAGGTGAAACACAATGTTAATTATGCAAGAACCTAACTTTACGGCTAAAATTAAACCAAGACCCAATGGGAACACAACTTACATAGATAGCCCCCGATTGAAGATCTCGTTTGCTGTTTTAATTTTATTATGAGATTCCATGTGCAAAGCATAGGCTATGTAGAATGAAGAATGCATCAGTCCAATTTTGTTAGCCTCCAGAAAGCTATAAATGACTTCAGCATCCATACAATTTTCAGCCTGCAAAGAGCCATCAATAAGAAAACGGATGTACCAAATTGCATGATGAGAAGATTTAGGGGTAAAAGAGTGGATGTTGAGAAAGCAAACACACATAGTCCAGCCACACTTTCAAGTAACGGAGGTCATCCTTATATCGTTCATCGTGCCAAAAGGTGCGGACACATTGCTCATAAATAACTATAAGTCCAGAACTGTCCCCACCAGGAGGGAAAGCCTCTTGCACCCACTTGATGCACCTTCACAATTTTAATGAAAATTTATGTCAGCAGCTTATTCAATAACAGAGATTGACTCATTAAATACTACTAGAAGATATAAGAGTTGAAAAATTATTTGCATCCCAAAAGCAGAGCACTCACTGGAGCCATGGCAGAAGAGGATCTTCACCTTTGTACTGGTCAATTGCTCCAATCAACGCCCTAATCAGAAAGAGTTGAATTCAAAAATTAATAAGGGATTTTGAAAATGCAGCAACTACTACTATTCTACAACTAGCGTGTACATCTTAATCAAAATCTAGTGCGGGATGGAATGATCAATGGCCAGAGTGGTTTCATTTCCGATCAACCTCAGGAGTAAATGTCATGAAAATGCGAAGAAAAAGTAATAGAGGAACCTTCGTTTGTCAAGAAGAGATTTCTTGAGTTGATAATCGGTACTAGACTTAAGAGCATCATTGAGAAGATTAACGTTGCGTCCTCTCTTCAAAGGTCTGACATTTTCCTTGAAGAGTTCCCACTCGTGACCAGTCTCTTGCTTCGACGCTAAGAACTCTGTCTCTGGATCCAATACGTAATCTCCTACCTTCTCCATTCCTTCTTCTTCTTCCTGCTTCCTTGTGGTGGTGTTTTCGTCAGAGCCTTCTTTCAAATTTGAAATTGTGTTGATGAATCCCTAAACCTTTCCTTTCATAGCCGTTGGAGTTTAGGGCCGACCACCCTCCTTTAAATTCCAGATTTTCGCAATATTTTTGGTCCCACCATGAATATAAGATAATGTTTTTTAACAAGTGCGCTACTACAAACTACAATGTGGGCCAAGTACATTCGGATTTAGACCGTTGGAATTTACACTAGATTAGGGGAAATTTATAAGGAAAACTACACAAATATGATTTATTAGGTAAAATATTTAATTAAATTGGACCCAATTCAATTTAATTGGCTGTCCCTTATTCTATTCACTGAATTACTGATAATCGGATGTATACACCAATTCAATACATGCAAGTCATGTGTTAAATTTATAATTTATTTTACTTAATCTTAATTAATTAACATGTGTTTTACTTCATCAAATCACATAATAATGGAAATTGCATTAGTTTGATGTATACACGGTGCATGTAAGTTTTTTCCATTTTGATGGTATCTATATATTCTGATCAAACAATAATTGAGCAGTTTTTTTTTCCCACTAAAACACCATTTTTTCTTCTTGATACCATTAGAGTATATATATAATTGAGTAATGTTTTTACCGAATTTTCCTCTTTGATATCATCAGATTATATATATGTATTCTAATGGTGTCAAAGAGTAATCTTCCTCTTCAAGTAGTAAGCCCGAATTAGTAGTGATCTAATTCGATTCCTACAAGATTTGATTTAATCGATAGAACAAATTAGAAAAAACGTCATTGATATTGACTTATTAAGTTAGCGATTCTTAAATAATCTTTTAATATTTGCCTAGTGATCTGATTTATCGATTCTTTGAATATACTTAACAATTAGATTGATCAACTAATAAATACTTATTAAATTTGTATATTTATCTTCAATTATATAAAATTGTCCTTTCCTAACATTTGCTCCAATAATTTATATTTTGTAAAATTGAAGAGGTTGTATCAATTAATACTATTATTGACTAGTGGTTAATTATAAAATTAATATAAATTTGTAATCTCAAACATTTATTTGTAAAAGAAATACGAAGGTAATCTCAAACATTTATTTGTAAAAGAAATACAAAGATATGTAAGTATCAATACACTATACATCGTCATAAAATATTTTGATATTTTGTTTATAAACTATGATTTGCTCATTTTGTAAAATTATATAAAAAAAATAATAATAATTGAACGTGTAAAATTTTTATATTCATGATGCTCATTTTGTAAGATTATATAAAAAAAATTATGTTCGTGAAAAAAATCTAACTTAAAAATAAATTTAATTTAAAATGATGAATTGAAATTTGAAATCATACTTCTTGTGTCTAAACGAGGGAGAAAGATGATTTAGGGGTGTTTGAATTGAAAAAAAGAAGGCAAAAGTAAAAAATGGGGATTCTCTATTTATGATTTTTAACTTTTCACTAATAAGTCAAGCCAATCCAAACACCTCCTTAAATGCCTGGTGAGAAGTAGGGTGAGCATAAATATCAAAAAACGGAAAAATCGAACTGAATCAAACTAATTCGGTTCTTTGATTTGGTGTCGATGTTATTTTTTTAAAAGTTTAGTTTTTTGATTTGGTGTTTGGTGTAAGGGTCTTAGAATTTCGGTGCACCAAAGAACCGAACTTTTATAAAAAAAAATTAAAATTTTAAAAAATAATATATACATTCTCTTAACTAAAAACAAAAAGTTAACTAGCAATTAAATCATTCATGAACAAATCAAAGTAGCAACAAATGTACAATTCAATAATTAGCTTTAAATATGATTTTTCAAAAGGAACCCAAACATGTTTTTATCAATGTACATTATGTAAATGAATTCGTCTTTGTCCTTATTTTATTAGAGAAGTAGTTGGAGGCACAATGGTCTTAACAAAAACAAATATATAGTTAGCACAATAAGTGTTACATACGAGACACGTCATTCATTAACATAATTTTAAATTTTAAATTATCTTATACTTTGATTTTTCCTCATTTTATTTTTTATTCACATCGAAAAATTAATTTAAAAACATCGAACTAAATCAAATTGAAGTAGAAAAATCAAACCGAACCAAATTAGTTTGGTTCGGAATATAGTACATATTTTTCTAAAATCAAAAACTAAAGAATCAAGTTGAAATTTGATAAAATCGAACCGAAGGACCACACGTTCTCTTTTCGCCAAAGGTGGAAGAAGTGTTCCCATGGGCCCCAAACTGAAGATGGAACCTTATCTCTTAACACAGAAATACTCCACGATGTCGTTTTATGTTAGTTGAGCAGGTACTAAATGATGCCCCGACTGTGATAGAGATATGACATTGTTGTTATAATTTCACAAGAAATCTGCACATTTTTTTTTCACCAGAAATCAACAGACCTTAAATTTGATCCCAAAAACCTCATCTCATTTCCAACTTAATTGTGATGGCGCTGTACTTGAAGCAGGCATCAATATTCCCAATCCATGTTGCTAGTGTAACTGGATCCACGAGGAAAGGAGTGCAAAAGGTGATGATGAGTGGATCAGGATCAGCAGGAGTACCAAAGTATAAGGGGACGCAGATGAGAGAGAAACAGCTGACGGAAATGATAGAGAAGAAAGTGAAGGAAGCTAAGGAGGTGTGCGGTGAAGACGCCAGGTCGGACGAGTGCAAGGTGGCATGGGATGAGGTGGAAGAAGTAAGCCAGGCTAAGGCCCATCTGCGTATCAAGCTTCAGCTCAATCAAGATCCCCTTGAACCTTACTGTCAAGATAACCCTGACGCCGACGAGTGCCGCACCTATGACCATTAATTAATTATTATTCGGATTTCACTGTTGTTGTACTTCTACTCCTCTACTGTATTTCTCTCCAATTTAGTATGATTAAAGTTAATTACTAGTACAAAACCCTCCATCTGCGTATCAAGCTTCTCCAACTTACTAGCATTTCAGGTTTGTTATATATTAATTATGTCTTCACTGCTATATGAAGCAGTAGGTAAGTGCAAACGTCATGTCCATATAAAGACGAACAAAACTAGTAGATATATTGAGCTACTATGAAGTTAAATTCAAGCCTCATTATAAAGCTCTGGAACACTAATCATAGCAAAAGAAATAAGGTATATACAAAAATCAATGGTAAAAACATGAAGCAAACTTGTTTTCAAGCATATCACTTGTTGTGAACCTGTAAGGGTATATGGGTCAAGTTGATATCATTGGGTCGAGTAAAATATTGGATGGTCTTATTTGGGATTCAAGTTCCGTTAGTTATTGTTAAAAAGGTCTAGGGATTAGAAAGAACGTTATGTCGAAGTTTTGGCTATCAGTTATCTCTCATTCCCTTTCTGTATTTTAGTATCTCATCCCCTTCTAGTTACCCTCTTCTATGTTAATCTCTCCTTAGTTAGTGCGTTCTTACTTTGTTGTGCCTATTCTAGCTGTAACTTGTGTTCAACGATAAATATATATAAGAGTGCTTGCGTTGGAATGGAGTTTGTTTCATCACATCACATAAGGGAATATATTATCACCCTCCTCGGAAAGCCACCAAGGCTGCTATTGTATCCACCCGGAGAAGGCAAACAAATGTGCAAGCTTTTTGTTAAATGAAAGTCACATACGTGAGAAGATTTGATTGTTTTCCTCTTAGCCATTCAAGTCACACCGCTTATAAAATTTTAAAAAAAAGTAATTTACTACTGTCACATTTTTCAACTTAACAAAAAATAGTAGGAGTACTAGTATATTTTAAAATTTTGGAGTTAAATAACCTAGTGTGATAACTTAAAAACTACTTGAATCTCTTCTAATTGTTACTATGTATATTTATGAAGAGATTACTTTTGGGTTTTGAGGCTGTAAAGGAACCACGTCATAACTTTTGGCGCAAAGTAGTGAATCTGAAGAAGAAAGGGCAAAGGAGATTGTACAAGTGGTCATGAGTCATGACACTGCTTCAGCTTCCCCATCCATCGTCCTCCGTCCCTAAAGACCAAAGGTTGTATCGCAATGCAAGTGCACTCGATCCCTTTTCGCGTCACAAGGCTTCATGGCAAGAGGTGTGTTTTTGCTTCTTCTGGTTCTCATCAAATACCACTTAACTTAACTAATCAATTTTATTCAGCTTGCCGGCGTTCTGGTATTCTCAGCGATTCCTTTCACTGCTGTCAAAGCTATTGCCAACAGTACCTTCGGCGAAACACTCCGTAAACGATTGGAAGAGAGAAAGAAGGTTGCTGTAGAGAATTCTGCAAAGTTCAAAGCACTTGCACAAATGGCAAGAAACGATAGGTAATCATCCTATCCCTATCACGTGGTAAGCCATGCCCCTTGTTTTCTCCTCTGTAATGCATCCGTCTACTTTCCACCACTATCAATATGTTAATCCATTCACAATTTTGCTACATTATACAGTAATGCATATCCACTTTTGTTTTCACTATTATCATTTGTTTGTGTTCTTTGCAGTATCTGGTATGGAGAAGATCGCCCCCGCTGGCTTGGCCCAATTTCTTATGACTATCCTGCTTATCTTAATGGGGAGCTACCCGGGGACTATGGATTTGATATCTGCGGGTTGAGCAAGGATCCCGTGGCCCTTCAAAACTACTTCAAGTATGGATTGGATTTTGCTTCTATTAACTCGTTCAAAATTTCTTTTGTTCTGAGTAGATAATGTATAGTATTTTCCCAAACAATGCAACATCATATGCCATTAAATTATTTGTGACCTTTTATGCTTCTTCGGCACATGTATCCTTTTAAAGACGAGCTTCCCACTAAAGAAATGAACAGAGTCAGGGCTTTCGATAACCTATTGAGAATTAACCACGAGAGTTAGGATTAGGTGATTGGTGATATGTTCCATCCTCTTTTAGTTGGAATAAAAGCAGACATGTTTCTTGAGCATAAATGTAGCCAAAAAAAAGTTATTAATTGGTATTCGAGGGGAAGGGAGCAAAGAGTTGCGAAATTCATATCTGGTCAGGGTTTAGGGCCACACATAGACATGAAAGTTGTTCTACTCCCAGACATGTTTGGGATGAGAGATTGAACATTTTCCAGCGTGGTTGTTCAGAGATCCCATTGTGTAATCTTTTGGGGAGCTTTTGAAATTCTCAAAATAGCAACAAACACACACTCATACAAACTATTTGTTCAGAAACCGTGCAGAAGCTCTGTTAAATTCTATTCGAACTTATTTCAGTTGTCATGGTTACTCACAGTTATGAAATATTGCATGGACGTTGGGCTATGCTGGCTGCTCTTGGTGCTTTGATTCCAGAACTTTTAAACCTGACAGGACTTTTCCAGTTTGTGGAACCTGTTTGGTGGCGAGTGGGCTACTCAAAGCTTAAGGTTGGTATCTTTCATATATGCGCTGTTGCTTGACTTCCCTTGGTTGATAGATGCTGCTTCCCTTAGCTATTGATATTACGAGTCCAAAAACTCCCATGCTTGTTCTTTCCTCCAATCTCACCTCTCCAGTTATCGACTCAGCGGAACCTTGTCTGTCGACCCAAACAACTCATATCAAATGTGCAAGTAGGTGAGAATCGGATGAGTTGATAATGCTACAAGTAAGATAAATAACTATAGCAACATACTCCTAAAGTAACTTGATATCTTCCAACTATTTGTACAAAATGGATTTGTTTTATGATGAGCCAAACATCCACTAGAATTCTATTTCTTGGCAAAGTTATTATCCAACACTTCCTTGTTCTGTGTAAATCCTACCCTCCCAAGACCCCACTTGTGGGATTACACTGGGTTTGTTGTTGTTGCTTCCTTGTTCTAAGGTTTCGAGTAAACATAATTTGGATTGATTTTACAAAAATTGTCGTACAAAATTTCAATTTTTAAATTCTGATATGATTTTCTTATGAAATTTCATTCTTGGAATCCAGTGTTTAACATGCAAGTATTCCTTTCAATAATTAATTTGTATCACTATCACCCACCTATTTCATATTCTTATCAGAGTGTTGTTCCACTTGATTATTGATCTCCTAATGACCTTATGAATTCAGTATCCAGAGCTTATTGCAGGTGTTTTTTTTTTTATCTTATTTATTTCTTTCATTTTTTCAAGGGAGATACACTTGACTATTTAGGGATCCCTGGACTCCATTTAGCTGGAAGTCAAGGAGTCATTGTCATAGCCATTTGCCAAGCCCTTTTGATGGTGAGTGCAAACACTTGCTCTATGTGTTTCCTTCCAGTAATTATTTCAATGCCGAATGTGTTTGAGTGTGAAACACTTTCTGGTTATTTGAATTCTTCTTGTAAAAGGTGCATTTTATCTCTTGCAATACACTCATTGTGTGACAAGGTAGGCATTTTGCAGTCATGGAGATGGTTGCAAGTACAGTGAATCTATTAGCTGAAGTAATGCTTTTAGCTCAAGATACTGTTCTCCAAGATTAAGATAGTGACTCTATAGATCAATCCCTTTCTAGAAAAGAAGTACAATGTAGCTTTGTGTTCAAATGTGTCCATACAGCTGATACTTGATTGGTTGGATATGATCAATAGATGGCTGCTTCCTTCTGCCATTTTTGTCATAATAATTTAACTGTGCCGATCGAGCAATGCATTTGAGAGTGATGATTTTGTTGAAAAAATTTTAATGGTCCATTGGGATAGAGTGCAAATGTTGATCTTAAGTTCGAATTAAATGTCTGCTTTTGCATTCAAGGGACAGTTTGCTACTTATTCCTCTTAAAATCCTAGTGCCTAATTACATATTGAATAATTGCTTGTGTGCTATAGCTGATGAACATGTTGAAACAATTCTCATGGAGACAATCCCATGCATAGAGAAGAAATAGGACAGTAAATTCTGTAACTGTAGTATATAATTTGGCCATTTCTACACAAAAGAAACCACCATCTAGTTGGAACTTGACTTTGGAAATGGCTTTTTTCACATGAACAATGAGGGAATTTTACTTGATTTCTTCAGTTCTTGCAATTAACTGTTCTTTCAAACTTTCTGTGCATAGGTTGGACCAGAATATGCAAGGTATTGTGGGATTGAGGCTTTGGAACCGTTAGGAATTTACTTGCCTGGTGACATCAATTATCCGGGAGGTGTTCTTTTTGATCCACTGAATCTCTCTAAAGATCCAATGGCTTTTGAAGAGCTAAAGGTGAAAGAAATAAAAAATGGGCGCCTTGCTATGGTTGCCTGGTTGGGCTTTTATGTCCAAGCCGCTCTTACGGGTAAAGGCCCTGTACAAAACCTTCTGGAGCATATCTCAGATCCATTCCACAATAACTTGCTCTCCATTCTAAAGTCTCTGTAAGAGAATTTACTTATCCAAGGTTGACAATGGGGTTTAAGCCTCCCAGGTATAATTGTTCTGTCTTCTTTATATTTAAGGCTAATATGTGAACTCCTAATTCATCTGAAAATAATGTCATACCTAGAAAAGGTGAAGACATGTTGTGCCCAGAAGAGTATTTGAGGTTGTCCATACCAATGGCAATGAACCTTATATGGTCTTGTTTATAATGGGATGTAAAATGAATATTGTTATTGTTTAAACTTCCGTTTATGATGGGATGTAAATAATAAGGAAGCAAGTATGTTACTTGTTATTTATTGTGTGACACGCATCCTTTTTGTTATATCTAGAAATTTATTCATTCTGCATCATAAAAGCTTCAGGAAGTTATCATATTAAACAATTTAACAAAGAAATTCCCATGTCCTTTAAGAATAATAATAAGGAATATTTAATTTGCATTTTGTTTCACTTTCTTTAGTGAAAAAAAATGGAGTGGAAGGGGTTTGGAAATATTAATTGGGAGGGAATGGTGCTCCCTGTTCATTGAGGTATGCTTCATGCAATTCTTCTTCTGTTAGTGCTTCTTCTTCCTCTCCCAATATTCTGAACCAGAACCTCTCCGACCCCTTCTCCAAATCCTTCAATAAGACCGCCAATAAATTCAATAACAACCTGAGATGCGAGACGAGCAGCAGTCCCAAGCATATTGGGCTTTTCAGGAGGCTTGATTCCATATTCTTGGAGGCCATTGATCATGGACTTAGCACACAGTGCATGAAGATGGTAGTCACAGACTGTGCAGCTGTACACTCGACCTGATGACCTTTTCTTCTTGCACTCACTGCATACCATTCCTGGTTGATCATTACCACCACCAGCACCACCTGGTAAAGTGTTTCCTGGGGGTAGGACTTTTAGTAGGTGCGGATGATTGGGAAATTTAATCTCGGTGGAAAGCATGGCACAACAAGGATGCATCTGGAAATTACAGGAGTTGACTCTGCATCTAAATGTGAATCCTTTGGTGGACTTGCAGCAGACATCACACCTTGGCCACGCTATTCCAGCTTTAACTGATTTGTTTAGGAAAAGAACATGTGAAAATTCTGGAGATGGGAAATACAGATCACAGAACTTATGCCAGACAACATATGTATGCATTTAAGCTTGTAGAAGCATATATCTTGCCAAAAAATGTACCACTTTGTGTAGGAATCATGTGTACCTTGTTTAGGTTTAGCATGGAAGACGAGTTGGTGCTGTCCATGGAAAGGATGAACCTTAAGAGAGGGCGGAGATAAGGCACAGAAGTGATGAAGCTGAAAATCACAATCTTGGCATGCATACCTACGGCCAGTGCCAAACTCTTTGCAACCTGAGCAGGTAAATAGTTCTGAGAGAGTGATCTCTGCAAGCGGGTGCTTTGAGTGAGTATGATGAACAATGGTTCCATTGTGATTAGCATGATACCCGGTGTGATCATCAGGTGGCTGGGGTGATGTTGGGAACTCTATGTAGTTTGGAGTGGGAGATGGCTGGTTACCACCCTTGGTCTTTGCGGCTGAGGAATGAGCAGAGACAGCTGAGAGTGGAGCTTGTGCCAACGGGAACGATGAGGTATTGTTCAATCTTTTCATTGCTACTATAGATGTCCCGGATCTCCTGAGGGGTTTTATACTGGTGCTGTTCATCATGTTTTAGTTTGGTTCCAAAAGAGAGTCTGAAGAACCTTATTGAGTTGAGTGTGAGGTAGCTCATATATTTATGCTTGCTTTGGATGCGTGGCTACAGAGAATTTAATCTAAATTATCAAGTTAAATTAATCACGGAAACAGTAGGTTGATTGATAATGTAAAAATACTCTAATTACATCGAATCTTTTGAATGAATAGATATATAGATGAATCATAAAGTTGTTGATACAACTAATCTGGAATTGAGGCATAACTAACTATTGATTGATTTATCAATGAAACCAACACGAAGCAATTGTATTTGCTCGATAAAGTCAAAGATTAGCTTTTAAGGATTTCTTTGTTAGTGGACAAGTTTGATTTTTGAGGGAGAATGAGGCCCCTCTCCTTGGTACCTTTTATTCTCTGCAATAACAAGGAGCAGTATTTTCCAACCAAGTCTGTCTTCTTTTTTCCCTTTTCTCTCTTTTTTACTACACCCCAATAGACAATAAAAGCCATGGCACGAATCAAAATCACTTTCTGGGAAGATACTTATTCCGGTATAAAGTAGAGGCGTAGAAAATGTTAACATGCCCACGATCTTATTTTTCTTTTTGGAAATTGCTTAGAAGAGTTTGCCACATTCAACCCAAGGTTGTGCCTCAATGGTTAATAAAGTGGGTTAAGCACCCCGAGGTCTCAAATTTGGATTCCAGCGGAGGCAAACACTAGGTGATTGTTTTCCATTTGTTCTAGCCTTGATGGACAAAGTTACTTGATATCCATTACTAGTAGGAGGTGACAAAATATGTTGTCCAAGTATGTGCAAGCTGGCTTGGACACCACAATTATTTATAAAAAAAGAAAAAGAAAAAAGAGTTTGCCACATTCAACAAGTGGCTTCGTGTAGATTGTAAATTAAACATGAAGATCTTTATCCTATTCCAATTTGCATAAAAGCTAAATACTACTACTGTAGATGATGGTAGATGTTGAGCATTCCCCTTCTCTGCTGTCGAATCTATAATTCTATATGATTAATGATTTACTGTAGTTGGTTGGACTTTGTGTTCCTTAATGATACCCAATTATTGCTAATTCCAATTGTGGATATTTAACTACTACAGCGTATCCGTAGTTTTTTTTTTAATTCATTTCCCTTTTAGTTATAGTTTATTTGATTCAAGTAACTAAGACATTTAACTATATCTTGTTACTATCAATATATATGCACAACGTTACTGTAAGGATCAGGAACTTGAATATTGATCTTTTGCTTCTTCCTCCTTCCCACCTTGGTTACGTATTAATAGTACTATTTTCATTCTCTATTTCTCGTTAATGCCCTATTTTGACGTGACACTAATTTAGTACCAAGTCTAAACTATTATTGTAATTATTTTTTTAATTGTAATAGTAATAGAAGAAGAAAAAATATGGACATTTGTTCTTAAAAACCTAGTTTGACAAGGAAAACATCCCCTATTAAATTAAATATTTTAAACTGGAGTTAGGGGTCAATCCATAATTTCCGTCTTTTCCCGTGGATTAGGCAAACAGAAAATTTGTTTTCGTAATAAGTAAAACGCATCATTTGTTCCCTAACCTCTCAGGAGAATTCTAATGTTTCGTCATCTACATCTTCCTCAACTTGTGGTCAATCAGAATCCTATTTAATTTTTTTAGGGAGATCATCACGCTCTAGAATGCTCCTAACTGATTTTTCTTTTGGCAAAACTATAGTCTTCAATTTATAACACATGCAGATTGAATTCATTTTATTGACAGAAAACAATAATTAAAATCCAACACAAAAACTAAAATTAAGGGAGCAGGCGAAGAAGATAACCTGTTTGATGGAGTGACTGAAAAGTGAAAATTGATTCAATAACATAGATTTATCTCTTCAGAATCACGCTACTGTAATATTTTACGGTTGGTAAAAGATGATGATGGCAATATTGGTAATAAAGAAAAGATCCAAGTGCGTTGTTGTAGGAGAAGGAGAAATTTGATTGCATTGACGGACGACAACTCAGAGTCTCAATTAAGTGTCGGTCCATAGAGTCTTGTTTTGGTGTCTCTTCACTCTGTTTTCAGCTACCCAATGGCTAAAAATCCAAGTAATACAGCCGGAAAAATGTTGGACACGAGGCCATTGGTAGCGACATTGCTCGCCTTCACTCTTGTCATGCTCATTTGGAATCTCCAACCTTACTACGATACCATCCTTAATCCGTCTAAACTCTCCATTAATATTACCGACCCTAACAAACGAACCTTCCTTACCTACGGCAATGCCGCCTCTCTCTTCGTCCAGATGGGAGCCTATCGCGGTGGTCCCACTACTTTCGCCGTTGTGGGTCTCGCTTCCAAGCCCCTTCACGTCTTTGGCCGCCCCTGGTATAAATGCGAGTGGATCCCCAATACCAATACCAACTCCTCTAAGAACCTCAAGGCCAAGGCCTATAAGATCCTCCCTGACTGGGGTTACGGACGTGTCTACACTGTGGTGGTTGTGAACTGCACATTTGCTGTGAATCCTAACCTTGACAATAAGGGAGGGAAGCTCATTCTCTACGCTTACTATAGTGAGTCACCCAAGAGATACGAGAAAATCACAGCATTGGAGGAAGCACCAGGGTCTTACAACCAGTCCAAGTTCAGCCCGCCATATCCCTACGAGTATTTGTATTGCGGTTCTTCCTTGTATGGGAATTTGAGTGCCTCTAGGATGAGGGAGTGGATGGCCTATCACGCCTGGTTTTTCGGGCCCAGCTCCCATTTCGTGTTTCACGACGCCGGCGGGGTGTCATCCGAGGTAAGGGCGGTGCTGGAGCCGTGGGTACAGACTGGTAAGGTCACGCTTCAGGATATAAGGGACCAGTCCGAGTTCGATGGCTACTATTACAACCAGTTTTTGGTGGTGAATGATTGCCTCCATCGCTACCGACACGCTGCCAATTGGACCTTCTACTTTGATGTGGACGAGTACATCTATCTTCCTGATGCCAACACTACTCTCGAATCTGTGTTAAGAGACTTCTCCAACAATACTCAGTTCACCATTGAGCAAAATGCCATGTCCAGCATCCTCTGCTTGAACGATTCCTCTCAAAACTATTCCAGGTTACTCTCCGTAATTTCTCTACTTGTACTGATTAATTGTTTTCACTGCTCTTCTTGTTAACCTAATAACTGCTTCGTCATTAATTTGATAAAGATAAAGGCATTCATCTTAACAATTTTTTTGTCATTAATTTTCTCTCTTATACAAGGCATTCATTTATTTATCAACTAAAACTTGATTGATTGATCTTTTAATACCTATTGGCTTATTAGTAGTTGATACTTGAGAGGCATTTAGGGGTTGCTGATCTAAGTTCCGTACCATCAATCCCTCTTCTGTTGAATTTGAGCTTCTCTTTAACGTTAAGGACGAATGTACAAGTTTCTGAAGCTTTCCTTCAATTTTCAATGCATGTTGTGTTTGTATTTACAAAGAATGCAGTCAAAGATGCCCTAGCATCGTTCACGCTAGTATATATAAGACATGTTAGTGACGGTTTAGGATGGACAAAGGTAGAGATAAGGTTTGCGTACATCCAAACTCCCGGTTATGTTGTTGTAAAGTTTTTAGGTACTGACCATCAAATCAGCATCTTTTTACATCTTCCTTTCATACTCTCCATTTGTTATTAATTACAGGCTGTGGGGTTTTGAGAAGTTGTTGTTCAGAGACTCGAGAAGTAACATTAGGAGAGATCGGAAGTACGCCATACAGGCAAAAAATGCATATGCAACAGGCGTACACATGTCGGAAAATGTAGTAGGAGGGACTTTGCACCAGACAGAAACCAAGATCCGCTACTATCATTATCACAACTCCATCACGGTACATGAGGAGCTGTGTCGTGAGTTTTTACCCATATCCGCTAAGCATAACATAACCTGGTTCGATAAGGTACCCTACGAATATGATGACAACATGAAGAAACTCACCCAAACCATCAAGGATTTTGAGCGAAATACTATCAATGCAGCTCCCGACCATACCAACAACTCATAGGATCAGTGTACAGTATTCTACCGAGAATTTTATTCACCAGTCACCACAGTGAAGAGAAGGAACTGGTGAACAAGTGTTTTAGGAGTAGTGTTCATCTTTAATTTGTAGTGTGCCCTACTCTTAATTCTTGGCAGCAAATTAAAGCAACACGTCCAACTCCTGCAGGGTCACCACACTTTACTTCTGCTGGCTCGATTTGGTTATTAATATCAAATCATTCATTTGTATCCACAAATTGCCAAGTTAGGTTTATTGGTTGATTTGGGAAAAGAGAGAGATGAGGGTCCCCACTCCCCACCAGGATTTGTCTGTAAATGGTAATCGCTACATTTTCTTTTATGACTACAATTCACTTCTTTCCTTTACATGTTCATTCCAATCCCTGCTTTTCATCTGTTACTCTAGAGTTTAGTGGTTGTCTTTCACTCATTTAAGAAGCAGATTGTGACTAGACATTTTTTAAAAACTCTCACCAGTTGATCTTTTGTCTGTTAGCAATAAAGGGAGTATTATTTCTATTGACGTGGATATAAATATATTGCAACATTAACAATGTACAACTGCTTGCCAACAGTGCAATTTGCTCCTTTTTAATATAGGTACTAGTAATAATAATTATATGCGTCCAACAAATGATGAAGGCGCACATGTCTTATCTCTTGCCTTTTGCATGATTAGTTCTCTAGTACCTTCCACTTAAAATGATACTACTATCGTTTAATTGTTTTCATAATAGGTAGAAATAAGATTTGATTTTTAAAATTTCATATTTTAATTGTATTCTGGACATTATTATTATTATATCTCTTCCAATGGATGAGTTGGGGTATATCTTACCCATAGCAAGTTGGGCGAATTATTGAGGGACAGACTAGTTAAAGTGAGCTTTGCCATAGTGACCCATGAAATGGGGTTAGATTCACAAAAGCTAGAAAGTAAACATATGCAGAGTCTAAACCATCAAAAATGAATGGGGGATAATATGAGATGGGCGGTGGAACAAAGCCCATTCCATTTACTTAAGGCCCAAAAGGGGTTTGGATTGGATCCACTGTTGTGTTGGACGTCTTCTGCTGCCCAACTATTCAAACGCATGGTTCAAATGATTTATCCATTTTTTGTGGTTGGAAGAAAAAACAAATCCTAAATTATTCAATCTCAAGTATGAACCAATTTTTTAAAATACTTTAATATTTGTTGACACATAATTGACGTTGGATTGCAAATATTATTCTTAGAATATATGAAAGCAGCTGGGATGGGGTATCTATCGATCTTTCTATTTGCACAAGTTAAGACTTAAAAGAGAAAAAAAAATGAAGTTTGTTGAGTCATAGGAATGTAGAGTAAAGGAGGTCAACAGAAAACTCTTCTTCTCTTCTCTGTTTTAAGCAACAAAACATTTACTTACTCTTACATACGAGGGAGCAATAATATATGTTTATCTTCCTCTTCCTTTTATTATTATTATTATTATTATTATTATTATTATTTTGTTATGAGTGAGAGGATGATTATCCTTTTAATTATTGTGTGCTGAATTAATAAAAAGTGACCGCCTTAGAAATGTGTGTCACTTTCCTTGTAAGTAGTTGTCACTTCACCCTCTACCTTTCATTTCCTTCTACTTTTCTTCTTCCGATATTTCCTTATATCTTTCTTCTAACTAACTAAGTAGATCTCTGTTGCAGAATATATCACTAGCACTCGTAAGATAATGGTAATCTTCATTTTCAACCCCACAAATTAGATAATTGTGTGTTTATATATATACATATTAAATTAATGGGCTCGCTGTGTCTGAATTAATATATAGGTGAGTCAGGATGAAATTGGGCCGGCATGGTTGAAGCCGCTGCTCAAGGCTAACTACTTCCATACTTGCACAATTCACGGTGATTCAAATAAGAGCGAATGCAACATGTATTGTTTGGATTGCATGGGAAGTAATGCTCTTTGCTCTTACTGTTTGGCCAATCACAAACACCATCGCCTTGTACAAGTCAGTTGCTCTACTTAATTCAGTAGTACGTATATATATATATATATGTCATGATCAGCCATAATTATAATATATATATATGTGTCTGCCTCTGTTTTTATTATTATATGTATAGATAAGAAGATCGTCATACCATAATGTGGTGAGGGTGAATGAAATTCAAAGGTACCTAGACATATCTTGCATTCAAACATACATTATCAATAGCGCCAAGATTGTGTTTCTGAATGAGCGTCCCCAGCCCAGACCAGGAAAGGGGGTTACCAATACTTGTGAAATCTGCGGCCGCAGCCTACTTGACACTTTCAGATTTTGCTCCCTCGGCTGCAAGGTACGTAAGTATGTATTCTCTTTTGGATAGAAATTAGAAATATGCAATTTTGGTTAAACCGAAGCAACTATATATGGTATCTGTTTCACTTTGTTTTCCAAGTATGTTCAGTTTATACGACCATATTGATTGATTAATTAAGAATTGTTTTTGGGTGGGGTAAATTGGAATTGCAGCTGAATGGTATTAGGCGAGGCGATGAAGAGTTGACATTTACATTGAAGGCGAAGACGAATGAATATTGGGATGATGAATCATCGACCCCAAAGAAGAAGAAGCGCAGGGACGAGAAAGTAACGTTTGGGTTTCGTCATCTGAATATTGAGGCATACAATATGTCTCCTGATACGCCTCCTATCTACAACCACAACAATTCAAACAGGAGGAAAGGCATTCCACATCGTGCCCCTTTTTGATAATTCATTAAGGCCGGCCGGCTCATCAAATTACAATAATACGGTTCCGTCACACAGACATACATTTATATATATAGTTCCTAATTACTATACAAACATGTGCATTATATTATATAGGTAGGAGTACTATGCTAGATCGATATTTATGTTTTAATGAATCCTTTTGTATATGTTAATTTACTTACAAGCTGTGTAATTAAACAAGGAGCGGGGAAGAAAATGGTATATATAGGACGTAGTTTATGATGTGTTTGAGAATACGATATTTTTAGTGGATATATTAACTAGCTATAGCTAGAACTTGGTATATTACTCCATTAACGTTAAATGGCAAAAAAGGATCCTCAGGCCTCAATAGCTCTGTTGAATAAATGGCAAAAAAAGCATTAACAAGATCCTCAGGCCTCAATAGCTTTGTTGAATGTTGAAAGAGACACGTCGATGAGGCGGCAAACGGGTTTTGACCTGAATGGAAAAAAAAATTAAACGCTACAGCTACAGCTAGTGCACGTGCAACTGAACCGTTTGACCGTAGCTAGATTACAAGACACAGTTAAATTAATTGACAAGGAGTAGTAATTTTAAGATATATAAATTGCCAACCATGCATGGTCATACTAATATCTTCTATGTAGGGAAGCAAATAGGAATAATAATAATAAAAAGAAGAAGAAGAGGGTGGGACCTAGTGCTTTGCATCCATGTCAAATTGAGAGAAGCTTGGAGGACACGTAACACTGTTATTAAGCCACGGAGGTGGACTCCCGATAGAGACTTGCCGCTTTAATTTCTCCTCTCCCTTTCTCTATCTCTAGCCCTTAAAAAATCCAATTTTTTTTCTCTTCCAATTAATAAAAATAATTTATAATCATATAAATATTTAAGAATTACAAATAAATAAAAAATCATGCAAGTCACGAACTAGAAAGAAAGAGTATACTATATATATACACAAACGAACAAGCTACATGATTGGAATATATAGAGAGGTTATTAAATAAAATTGGAAAATAGGGACTGTGAGGAATCTGCTCTCTCTTTTCTCTCTTTAAAATTGAAAGGTTGATAATCACACATTCGGAATTTCTAGATGACGAAGCGTTGAAGTTCGTTTTGGATAAAAATTAGTAATTAGGATGACCCCAAAATCAGCTTAATTATTCCATATTTCTAGCTTTGGTCACAGGTTGCATGCGTCTAATTAATTGTTTTGAATATACATAACTACGGTAGGGGAGCAATAATATAACTTCTACTTATAAAAGTATTGCTATGGAGTAATATTTATCTCATTTTTAGTATTTGACTAATGGAAGATAAATAGGAAAATTGGGTGCTATATATATATATTAAAGGGATAATTGTACATAATGGCAAACTTTTAATGTAAAATAAATATAGTAGCTATCGTTTCATTTATTTCCTTTAAGGAGCAAAGTCTCGGTCAGTTTGCTATTAATGGCCCCACCGATTTGTATTAGTAAAAAAAAAAAGTTGACGTTATTCTCTTCCTTTAATACAATATCTTCTTCTCGTTTGTATCTCTTATTTCCTTCAATTTCTCCCCAAAATTAGTTTGAAATTTCAAATCTCCACCAGCACGTTCTCAATCGCGGTTTCAAAATCCCTTCAAAAATTTCAGGTATCGCCAAAACTTATCTCAATCGATTACTTTTAATTTTTGTCTATTTTTTTCCAGTTTTTTCAAGCAATTTTTCACATCAGTTCATAATCCATATAGAGTTTTCCTTCAAACAATGGATGCCCAATCTCCATCTAAAAGATTCACAAGAGGTATACCCTTGCATGTCGAAAATAGTGTTGAACGCCCATCTTTTTCCTTAGGTTTAACTCAGAATTTTGGGGAGGTTTCAGGTTCAATGTCCAAATCCAACACAATGCAAGAGATCAAATCCAAATTGAAAAATAACTCAATCAGATTGGGGGGAATGAGTGCAAAATCGAAGCAATCCAACATCAAAATTGTGGAGGGAGGTAAGAAAGACCAGTCTGCTGCTGGGTCAAGTAAAAAAAGGAAAGAAAAAACAACTAATTATACAGAAGAGAATGCAAAAAGAAAGGAAGTTGTTGTTTCTGGCTTATTGGAGCATGATGAGGTATTTGTATAATCATTATTTTTGTATATGTTACGATTTTATATTTTTCTTGTATTTTCTGTGTTGATTCATGTCTTATAACTGTTTGTTCATACAGTTTTATATAGTCACTATGTTAATAGCCAAAGTTAAGTGTATAAAATAGAACTATTTAACTATACATACAAGGTAAACAATTATACATTTGAAATTGGTTGTATAATGTATAATATATATACAGTATAAACATTTATACAGTTTTGTGAATTGTTTTATGTATAAGTTTTTTTCATTTGTATAAGGATCCTATTTGTATAATCTTCCTTTAGACATATACAATTTCACAAACTTATACACATATATAAATGGTTTGTATTTCACTATATATACAATGTAAACAATTATGCATTTGAATTTATTTGTATAAGTATTATATCAATAGTTATTGTATTCGTAGCGGTACAACAATTTATCTATATATACAATATAAACATTTATACAGTTGAAATTAGTTTGTATAATGTATTTTTTCTTTATAAAACTTGTATATGTTATTTTCATTTAAAAGCTATTTCATACATTTTGATATATGTACTTGTGTCTTAATTATGTATACGTGTGTATTTTTAGTAAAATTATATATGCATTTTTTCAGGCAGTTAAGTTTTTAGGAAAAAGAGAACCAACACGCATACCTCACATGCAGTGTTACACAAATATTGAAGTAATGAAAGTGTTAACTACAAAGCTTACTAGTTCACAATATAAAGAATTTTGTGGAATAACATGTTTTGCCCAATTATCTAGCATTCGTAGGTGTCATTATCAAGCACAACTGATTAGGTGCATGTTTTTGAGAGAAATTGAGGGTAGCTCAAAAGATGCAATCCTGATACATGTGAATGACACCACTTTGCGATTCACCATTCGTGACTTTGCTATAATATCTGGGTTAAAATGTTCAGACAATGAGAAGGATTTTGTCTTTAATACCGAAGAACCAAACATAATTATTCTTCAGTATTTTGGAGTCGAAAAAGCCATCACCAAGAGTCAGTTGGTTGAAAAGTTTGATAATAAGGTTTGTGGGGATAATGATGATAATGCGGTGAAGTTTGCTATATTGTTCTATATACATTCATTCATCCTTTTCGAAGAACCAACCAATACTGTTATTGATAGGAAAGACTTTGATTTGGTTGAATCGGGCAGATACATTGACTACCCATGGGGTAAAAAGGCTTTTGACCTTCTGACTCTGCATTTGCACACTAAGATCAAACACGATGGGAAGTATTTCAGGTTGTATGGTTTCCCACTTGCTTTGCAAGTGTGGTTTTATGAATGTTGTTCGAATTTTGATGAGGAAATTGATGTTAAGGTATCTCATCACATCCCTAGGATACTTAACTGGAAGACAAAAAAAGATTTCCCTCATCTAAGCTATTTAGCTAAGGGCATGTTCAGAGACGACAACAATCCGATACGCACTGTACAATTTTATGTATAATATATTATCTGTATAAATATAGTATAGATATATAACTGTATAAATATACAAATGTATAAATATATGTATCAGTTTGTGCTATAGAAAACTATATGTATAAATTTGCTCCATGTATTATTATTTATACAAGTTTTTGACAATGTATAAATATACCTATAAGTAAGTGAACTTTATAAACATAAGCTCATTTGTATATATAAACTTATAAACTGTATAATTATACATATAAGTTTGTCTAATGTATATATATATAAACTGTATATATGTTTTTACATTTGATTAAGTAAATATTTGTATAATGAATATGTCAATATGAACATGTCTATATTTTGCAGCTTGTTTTTAAGAATATAACTCCAACTCCAGTGGAACTCAAGATTCTTGAATTACAACATATGAATATACAAATAACTAAAACACCATATACATTAATGTATTTGTTGTATAAACTAGTTACCTGATTGCATTTGACCTCACAGTTCTATATTGAAATCTATTTTCAATTGCATAATTTTCCATCACAGATTTCAAAGTGGCTTTGTTCTTATACACTTGGTCAATCTCCACGTACTTATTACAAGGATCTGAAATGACTCCATCACAGCTCCCTGACCCCAAGACACAAAGCGGCTCTACCAATTCACCAATTGACAGCTGCATAGTCTCAAAATCAGCAATACCATCATTACAAATTGATGTAACCATATCATTCTCCTGATTTGAACTTTCACACAGTTCAGTGATATTGCTACTATTATCCATTTTGCTTATACAAATTGGATACTTGTTGAAGTCATCTGCAGCCTTTTTAAGCATGATATACACTCTAACACCCATGTCGTTGTGAATCAACATTGGCGTTTTGCTTTCTTTAACCTTATACTCAATTTTCAGATTAATCACATTTGTATCAACACCGAATTGCATTGCAATAACATTATACAACTCCTTATACGATGAACTTTCTTTAAAAATCACCCCCTCAATTGTATAGTCAACGTAACAATTGTCATTGTTCCATCTATCGGAATGCATAACCAAAATAGCTAATGAAGCCATTTTCAAAATTTCTGTATAAAAAAAAAGTTATATATACATATACATTTATACTATTAAGAATTTCAACAACAAACATAACGTATATTTATACAAATTCTAGCAACTTCAGTTATTCACATATATACATATTCCAATTACATACTCATAGAAATGTTTATATACACAATTATACAATTTCATACAAGCGCAGTGTTATGATGAAGATAACTGTATAAAACATACACATAATAGTTTCATATATGTATTATACATATCTTACTGGATCATATCTGAAAACCTATACGTATAAACTCTAAGCAAATATACAAATCCGAACACAAATATTACTGTGAAAT